CTCAAGGTGAAAGACTCGGATATTCTGAAGACTGTTTTTCGTACTGGGTATGGGCATTATGAGTTTTTAGTGATGTGATTCGGGTTAACAAATGCCCCTGCTACTTTTATGGATTTGATGCATAGGGTGTTTCGACCTTATTTGGACCAGTTTGTAGTTGTGTTCATTGATGACATACTGGTGTATTCTAGAAGTGAAGAAGAACATGATGAGCATTTAAGGATTGTTCTACAGACTCTAAGGGAGAATAAGCTATACGCTAAGTTAGCAAGTGTGAATTCTGGCTCAGCGAAGTGACTTTTCTTGGACATATCGTTTCTGCTGGTGGTATTCGGGTGGATCCAAGCAAAGTGGAGGCTATTCTGAACTGGAAGCAACCCATGAACGTTTCTGAGATCCGTAGTTTCTTGGGCTTAGCTGGTTACTACCGTCGGTTCGTTGAGGGGTTCTCCCTTATTGTAGCTCCTCTAACGAAACTATTGAGGAAAGATGTTCCATTTGTCTGGTCTAAGAACCAATAAGCTAGCTTTGAGAAATTGAAGACTGTTCTAACTCAAGCCCAGTGCTGATTCAGCCTGAATCTGGAAAAGATTTTTCTGTCTACAGTGATGCTTCACACTCTGGATTAGGATGTGTTTTGATGCAAGATGGGAAGGTTTTCGCTTATGCTTCGCGTCAGTTAAAGCCGCATGAACGTAACTATCCTATTCACAATCTGGAGTTAGCTGTCGTGGTTTTTGCTTTAAAGATCTGGAGACACTACCTATACAGAGAAAAGTGTTATATTTATACTGATCATAAGAGTCTGAAGTATCTGCTTACTCAGAAAGAATTAAATTTGAGACAGTGTCGCTTGTTGGAGCTTCTAAAGGACTATGATTTAGAGATGGAATATCATCCAGGGAAATCTAATGTAGTGGCATACGCCTTGAGCCGTAAGACAATATCAGATCTCAGAGCCTTATTCGCTAACTTGAGTTTATTTGATGATAATAGTATGTCAGCAGAGTTGCAGGTTAAACCTACTTTGGTCGAGGAGATTAAGACCAAACAACTTCTGGATAGCTCATTGCTTCCCATTATTGAGCAAATTAAGCAAGGATCGAGTTCAGAGTATATTGTGGATCAGGATGGTATTTTGTGTTTTCACGGTCGTTACTACGTTCCTAAAGATGATGAGTTGAGACGGATTATTCTTCAGGAGGCTCATAGTAGTCCTTATGCTATGCATCCTGGCGGGGACAAAATGTATAATAATCTCAAATAGCGCTACTTCTGGACTGGTATGAGAAAGAATATTTCAGATTTTGTGGCGAGGTGTTTGACTTGTCAGCAGGTTAAGGCAGAACACCAGCATCCATATGGATTGTTACAGTCAATTAAGATTCCTGAGTGGAAATGAGAGCGTATTACGATGGATTTCGTTACTGGTCTTCCTCTGACTCCTTCCAAAAAGGATTCTATTTGGGTGATTGTTGATCAACTCACCAAGTCAGTGTACTTTATCCCTATCCGGATTAATTATTCTCTGGACAAACTGGCTAAGTTGTACATTTCAGAGATTGTTAAACTTCATGGTGTACCGGTGTCTATCATTTCTGATCGAGATCCAAGGTTCACTTCTAGGTTCTGGAAGGCTTTGCACGAGGCTCTGGGTACTCGTTTGAATTTCAGCACAGTTTTTCATCCTCAGACTGATGGACAGTCTGAGCGAGTTATCCAAGTGTTGGAGGATATGTTACAAGGTTGTGTGATTGATTTTCGTGGTAGTTGGGAAGATTTCTTGCCATTAGCCGAGTTTGCTTATAATAATAGTTATCAGGCGAGTATTCGCATGACACCGTATGAGGCTATGTATGGACGTAGATGTCGTACTCCTATATGTTGGACAGAGTTGCATGATAGAAAAACTTTGGGTCCAGACTTGGTTCGAGAGACTGAAGATACGGTCAGATTGATCTGTGATCGCTTAAAAGAGGCATTTGATAGGCAGAAATCATACGCAGATAAGCGACGTAAGGATATCGAGTTTGAGGTTGGAGATCAGGTTTTTCTCAAGGTATCCTCATGGAAGAATGTATTGAGATTTGGACGTAAGGGTAAACTGAGTCCGCGATTTATTGGACCGTATCGTATTTTGAAGAAAGTTGGACCTGTTGCTTATCAGCTTGAGTTACCTCCCCAGCTCAATCGTATTCATGATGTTTTTCATGTGTCTATGTTGAGGCGATATCGTCCAGATCCGGATCACATCATTCAAGTTGACGAGGTAGAACTGAGACCTGATTTGTCATATGAGGAGGAGCCTATTCAGGTTTTAGAGAGGGATGAGCGAGTTCTTCGGAATAGACGTATTGGTCAATGGTCAAAGTTCAGTGGAGTAATCGTAGCCCCTCAGAAGCTACTTGGGAGACATTGGAGTCATTTGAAGCTCAATTTCCTCATCTATTTTCATAAGGTAAATTTCGAGGACAAAATTTCTTGTAGAAGGGGATAATTGTAACAACCCGGAATTTTGGGGGGGAAATATTTAATTGAAATTTGAGGATTTAATTGTGTAATTGATGAAATATTGGGGACTAAATTGAAAGTTTTCAAAATTTGTAAGTTGTTGTAGAGTTTAAGGAAATTCAGGGACTACGCCCTGAATTTACCCAAAAAGTATCGGCAGACACTCTATGTTTTGAATCAGATTTACGGGGGGAATTTATAAGCATAATTTACTAAAATTCCTCCCCACCAACCTCTCCTTCCAAACCCGATTACGATGTCGTCCGAATTCTGATCGTCATTTTGAAACCACCCCCTTAAATTAATTGAAGTGAAACGCTGCCAAACGTCGTGAATTTCAAGTCAAAGCCTCGACTTTTTTTAGCACCATCACCGAGAAAATCTTAAATTCCGCACCATCGTGTTCCTTGTGTCGTTCCGAGTCCGCCGGTGTCATCCTTGGTCTCCGTCGACGGCGACGCGTGAGGGGGTGAGACGGTCAAAGTTTTCGATTTGTTGAAATCGAGCTCTCCGTCGTTCAAAAATTTGAACCGATCTTTGTAAGTATATCGAAATCGCTCAAAATAATTTTTAGAAATTTTTTCGTGAATTGTACGCTGCCAGAAGACGTCCCACGCGCCCCCACGCGCCGTCACTGCGCGTGGGGAAGCTCAAAATTACCGGTTTGACCGGTTTTTAACCGGTTGCATCCTAACCCGACCCGACCCATTGACCCAACCCGTTGACTCGACCCGTTGACCGTTAACCGGGTGCTATTTTAGTAATTATTTGGGAAATGGTGCTCATTTGGTAATTATTTTTGAAAAGGGTGCTATTTTTGTATTTTTTTTAAAGAAAATGACAATTTTGTAAAAAAAATTTAAAAAATTGATATTTTAGTAATTATTTTGAAAATGGTGTTATTTTGGTAATTAATTTCAAAATGGTGCTATTTTCGTAATTTAAAAAAATTTGTTAATTTCGTATACCACCTTTGACCTGGACTTTGATCGGTCATTAAACGACCTTTAATATTTTTTGAGTATACCTATTCTGACATTTTTTAACATCCCGAATCTATTTTTGAGGTCTGTTTCACCAAATTTGAACCTAAAAGTCTCCAAATCATTAGTCAAACCCGTTGACTTTAATTTTGACCAAGAATTCAGAATTTTGGAAGGTCATACTTTATGTTTTTCGACGTTTTGAATCTGATTCCGAAGTCTGCTTTGCCAAATTCTGATCTGAAATCCCCGAATCGAGCATGTGAACCCAAAAGGCTTAGTATTTTAATATTTTGATTATTTATTTGAGTTTTGGTTAAGGAATTAATTCAATAAAATATTTTATGAAGGTACTCGTGTTTCACCTGAGCGTGGATCAGTTAGGTCTGGAGTTGTTCGTTCGTCAGATCAACCTAAATCGCGTACTACAAGAATTACTCGTAGGTTTCCGTATATTATTTAAATAAAGATTATTTATATTAGGATTCCAATATGGATTTTCCAATTCATAGGATCTAGTGCTGTAGCAGAGCGTGATCGACAAACCCAGTAATATGCTTCCCTATTTGATTTCTCAAACTGTTACAGGTGTGTTCCATGACAGTGTTATTGTACTATTTCAAAAATATTATTTGAATTGTTTTAGATTGGTGATAAATCATAATACTGTTATGACATGATACATGATACATGATACATGATACTTGATTTTTGAATATTAATTACCTGATATCTGATTTATGTATTTCAGTATATGATTTTTTTAAGCATGAATTATTCACCAATTTCACTTGAATACATACTTGTTTATTATTAACATTGGGGGGAATATTGTTGGAGGAAGAATACTTGCAGGCTCCTCGGCTTTGTGCTCATGGCCTTACTGGACGTGACCGGGTGTATGGTTCTAGGGAACCTACACATTTTGCTCGTGATAGATGGAAGTAGTGTTAATATTTTAAATAAAACAAACATGTTTGATGAAATGATTTTTACTGGAATATTTTATTAATATGTTTTTATACACTGTTTGAAACACACTGAGTTTTTTAGCTCATTCTATAGTTTTACCCTTCTTTTCAGATAACAGCAGACAATAAGCAGCAGATTTGGCATCAGGAAAGATCAACTACTTTATTTTGTACGAACGTATATCTCTATGTATTTTTCAGTTGTATTTGGTGACATGTATTTTGCTGTCGTTTTGGATATTTTTGTATTATCAATATTTTGTTTAGTATTATCTGTAATGTTTTATAAGTTGTTTTAAAAAAAATCTTTAAATGGGATATGTGGCCACTTAAATTTAAGTCTAACTTACAGACCGATTATGGGGGTTACATACTATACAGGAAGGAACTCCTAGAAAATAAAATAAAATCTGAGGCCTACGACATGAAAATGGTTAAGACATTCATTTGAACTATTTTCATTTATTGAGTCTTCTCAACCGCCATCCTCCTCTTTCAAGACAAACCACGTCCTTTCCATTTTCGACCAGCTTATAAGGGCCAACTCAGTGCTCAAAGATTCAATGCAGTAACCCCCTCAGGTAAAGAAGAATGGATTCTTACTATTGCAGAAAGGTAATTCTGTTTTTGGTGTTTGCATTTCCTTCAATAAGCAGAGGGCATGCACAAGAATCAACCACTCTTGTCCCTGCAATCATAACATTCGGTGACTCCGTGGTGGATGTTGGCAACAATGACTATCTCCCCACCATCTTCAAGGCCAATTACCCTCCTTACGGCCGGGACTTCGCCAACCACCACCCAACGGGAAGGTTTTGCAATGGAAAATTAGCCACCGACATCACTGGTAAGTAGAAGTAAAGCACCAAAGTCCGAGTTTAGAATTATATGTTCCAGAGTTCTACTCAAATGGCTTCTTGCAGCTGAAACTCTGGGGTTTACAACTTATCCACCGGCGTACCTTAGCCCGGAAGCATCGGGGAAGAACCTTCTCATTGGAGCCAATTTTGCTTCAGCCGGCTCTGGATATGATGACAAAGCTGCCATGATGAACGTAAGATGCTAATCTTAAGAGTCCGAAATCCTAATCTCGACATCAAATTGCCTTATAGTATTATAACTATGAGGTTCCTGATTTCCTGTGTGTTTGCAGCATGCTATCACATTGACCCAGCAAGTAGAGTATTTCAAAGAATACCAGGCAAAGCTATCAAAGGTAGCCGGCAGTAGTAAATCAGCATCCATTATCAAGGATGCACTGTATGTACTGAGTGCTGGAAGTGGTGACTTCCTCCAGAACTACTATGTCAACCCTTTACTTAACCATGCCTATACTCCGGAACAGTACGGCTCATTCCTCATCGACGCCTTCTCAAGCTTTGTCAAGGTATCGGTATATAAACTATTAAAACGGTAATCGTTTATTCTGTCACTTTCAACCGTTGAATCCGTTAATAAAATTTTGGATTGCTATGATCGACCAACAGAACATGTATGAGCTGGGAGCTAGGAAAATTGGGGTCACGTCTCTTCCACCGTTAGGTTGCGTTCCATTAGCAGGAACATTGTTTGGTTACCACGATAAAGGATGCATCTCCAGGTTCAATACCGATGCTCAACAATTCAACAAGAAGCTCAACTCGGCAGCAGCTAATCTCCAGAAACAGCATCCTGGTCTTAAGATTGTGGTTTTTGACATCTTCAAGGCGCTTTACGACATCGTTAAATCTCCTTCGAACTATGGTAAGGAACTAAAAACTGTTTAAAATGGTTAAATGAAATTGGTGTTGAGTTCGGACTCTGTTTTGGTAGGTTTCGTTGAAGCAACAAGAGGGTGTTGTGGAACTGGGACCGTAGAGACGACCAAATTCTTGTGTAATCCACACACGCCGGGAACATGTTCCAATGCGTCCCAGTATGTGTTCTGGGACAGTGTCCATCCATCTCAGGCTGCTAATCAGGTCCTTGCTGATGCATTGATTGTTCAGGGTATTGCCCTCATTTGATTCAATTGAGCCTTGGTGACATATTGTTGTTAAAGAATTTGAGACGGTGATCTCCATGATTATTGAGGAAATAGTATTTAAATGATTGTATTTATTGTGTGTTCTGTTGTATCTTTTAATGTTATAATTCCAAGGGAAATGTTATATGCGCCGCTTCACTTTTTAACATTATGGTTGATCTGGTTTTATTCTTTGATTTGCTTTAAACCCACTCTTGATGTTATTTTGAGTATTGGGATAGAAAAGGAAGTTTTCTTTTTACAAAAGAAAAGGAAGGCTTTTTTTTTCTTCTTTTACAAAAGAAAATGAAGGTTTTAATCTTAAAAAATGTTTTAATTTATTCCTAGAGTTAATTGCATTATATGTCCCCAAACTATAACTCTCATTCTAAATTGATCCTTAAACTTTTGAATATTTTAATTCCATTCTTAAACTGACTCTCATCTTAAATTAGTCCTTAATTTTTTAACATTCTAATTTCATCCCTAAACTATTAATTTTTTGTAAATTAGTCTTCAAACTTTTGAACATTTCAATTTCATCCCCAAATTCATCCAAATATGTAATTAGTTTCAATCATAGTTTAACCTAAATTTTATTTTTTTTCAAGCATATAATAGCATAATTGGCCTAACGATTTTAATAAAAATGGATGTGATTAGTATATACGTATAGTTTGGGATAAAATTGGAATGTTTAAAAAGTTTGGGGACTAATTTAAAATGATGGTCACATTTTGGGGATGAAATTGAAATGTTCAAAAGTACAAGGACTAATTTAGAATGATAGTCATAGTTTAAGGATGTAATAAAAATATTTAAAAATTTAAGGACCGATTTAAAATATGAGTTTGAGGATATATGATGTAATTAACTTTGAATCCTATGTATAAAATTCATTGGTCTTATATGTGTAGGTGAATATCTGTACTAATTATTAAGTAAATTCATTGCTTTTAGATACCATATATTATTCAATTAAGTCCTAAAGATTTATTTAAAATCTGAGAACAAAAATATTGGAAAAATCAACTGATTCGTAGAATTTGAAGTCAATAAGAAGCTATTGTGTGAAACTAAAAATTAGATGATGCTTTCTGCTCTTATGAATTTGTCCACTATCTGTTCCTGGTTGTTTTAAAGCCTCTGCAAACTTCATAACGTCCAATCTCCGATGGGAATACGAACCTTGGTCGAGTTGAGGTTTGAAAAGAGACTCATCCCTGCCACAACTGAATCCTTTATATCCATACGAACCACAGTGGCTGTTCCTTCGGAATTTACCAATTTCCTTCACTTTATCAACATCCAATGTGGTTGCAGGTGAAATCTGAGATGGAGTTGTAAACCTATCACTGCTGTTTTGTAGCCTCTCGTTCCCTCTACCTGAACTCCAACTCAGAGAATCGACATCTTCCGTATTATCACTTTTTCTTGATGATGTACTAACGTATGTTCCCACTGTTAATCTCCTAAGTTTCTTAAAGAACTTGTTTCTTCTTGAAGTCGGGATTTCCTCAGCAGATGAATTCCCGATTCTAGAATCGGCTACTTCATGGTTGTCACTACCATAGAAGGCTCGCGAGCAAGACCAATGACCAGAATCAAAATCCATGCTATCCCCCGTTCCTTCAGCTCGTGCATATTCAACTATTAGCTTCTTGGCTTTCTTCTCCGACTCCGGACTTGGGCTTTTGCTTAGGTCTCTAGCAACTGGTTTTCCAGGGATGGGTGGCAAATTCCTCAGTTTGTACCGCAAACAAGCATTTATGATTTACCCACCGGCGATACACCAGTTCTCGGCATCAGCGCATCTGTCTTCGTTGAGCTGATCAATTTGCTTCTTCAAGTCTTCATTTTCTTGCCTCAGACGCTTTTGCATTTTGTTTATTGCTTCTGATTGCAATCAAATCACCCGGTATAAAGCCAACAACAAAAGTAGCAATAACAATATAAAGGGAGAGGATTCAAGTTTCAACACATATGAACTGACTACCTCAGGATCCTCCAAAACAGAATTTGCAAAGATTTGGGTTGACTCAAACTTCCGAGCCTGTTCGGAAATTTCTATCTGAAATCTCGTATTATATTTCCTCAACTCTTCTGCCTCACCTTCCAAAACCTTTAGCCTTTCTAACTTTGGTTCGATATCATGATAATCTGCACGAGCCTTGAGTTCTTGCTCCTTTAAGCTAGCAACCCTCTTTAGAACGTTTCGAATCTGCTCTCTATTCTGCTCAACCTCATGCCGAAGTTTCTTCTTAAGCACCTTAATTCTCGATTTAGATGCCTGAAGCTCGGCTACGACTTTTGCATGATCGGCAACTTGGTTCTATAATCTTTGGTTTTCCGACTGTAAGGATGCAATCTTGAGCGTGAAAAGCTTAGCCTCCATATTGTTCATCTTCAGCTGGTTTTCAAGCTCCAGAACAGCTGCTTCTCGTTCTTTAAGACCATAATATTCCAGCAGCTGGACCTCAAGATTCCTCTCCCTCTCCCGAAGCGTTCTTACCATATTTCTAAGGTGCTTGATCTCTTGCTCATGATCATCCTTTTTAGCGGTTATAAACGTTCTTGAAGTGTCAAATTCCTTGACAAGATCATTGAACTCCGGCAAGAGAAACACTTCTCCGCCCTGTCTACTGCTTGGGGAAAGAACAGAAGCATTCTCAACACTAGCTCGTTGTGCGGATATACCTTCCTGCCAGAGGGAAACCAAAATGTCATATTCAACCTAGAAACTAACATCAGGTGACACGTACTCGGCGCCGAGTCATTCGAACAATGCTTCACAATTGCTATATAGTTGGAAGGTAAATAGTGAGAAAGACAAAATAAAGGCACCATGTAGATGCTTTTTGTGAATAGGTAACAGGTGGATTCCTTGCCGAGTTGACTCCATGTAGATGCTGCACTTTGTAGATGCTGCACTTGGAAATTAAATAGACGTCCCCAATTTTATTTTAAATAATTAGTTTGACATAAAGATTTTGGAATAATAAATTTGGACATGGGTGGCCCCCTATGAGATTCTCACATATAATTAAATTATTATATTTTAATTATTTTTCAAAATCTAACAATACGTTATAAACGAAAGAGTGTGCTTCGTCTCATTACTTGATTGGCTTAATAGCAGGTATAATGAAAGTGAGGGACTTTATTAACTTTGTCAGCATGAGTTGGTATTAGCCTATTAGGGGACTACAATCTATAAAACTTGGCAACTTTCATTTTCACATTTTTCCTATGCTTGATTCGTGGAACCAATTTCAATGGTTTTTCAAGTTTGACAATTAGGTAATGGAGATCATAGAATAGGCTTATTGACAAAGGTGGAACACGTGTTGTGACCATAAAGCATGGTAACTATAGTAGAATCTACCCTCACACTATAGTTTTACGTATATTTATATTTTTTATAGAAGGATTTAGTTTTATTAAAAAAAATATCAAGAATAAGAATTTATGATCATAATCACATTTAAATATATGATTAGCACATTTTTTCTATAATCATTAACTCACAAAAATTGGCCACTTAAGATTATACAAAAATCATACGATTTAACCAAAAAAATAGAATAAAAGATAGATATGAACATATCTGACAGCATCTGTAAATGAGCTACAAAAGTAGATTAAGTTACTAAAAGATCATCGATAAATCGTAAATCAGAGTCGAGTGACATGAAAAAACTATCTATAAACGTAAATTGCGTATTCAAATCCAATTTAGTAGTATAAAGTCGGAAAGATCAACATGATAACAAAAAGTGTCTTCCTGATAAGTCGTGACAATGTCAAATCAACCTTGAAAAAAATATAAACGAAAACAATGACCAAACTACTGAAAACGTTTCGGTGGAGAGATTTTTATTCACATGGGAACTTCCAATTAAACCATCTTAGAGACCTCTCTGGCAGGTTGCTTTCCTTGGTATTGTTTGGTCGATTTAGGTGGCTACGAATGAGGTGCTTCTTAGCAATAAACAGTGTATTCAGTCCCGTATCTTTGAACTAGCCTTGCTTCGGACTGGTTCATGGGCACAGAGTAAATGGCAGAATCGATCCCTTCCTTTAACGAGTTTATCAGGTGCCCTTCGGCATCTTTTACTCCCCTCCCCAAAGCTCGTAGACTTGTAGATGGTGCTTGGGTTGCTCCTCCGGCTGGAAATCCCAAGTTTAATGTTAATGCTGCAGTACAAGAAGCTTCGGCATGGCTGGCATCGGAGGTGTCCTTCGTGATCACAATGATATTAGTCTTATCCGATTCTCGAAATCCTTGGGGGAGCTCGACCCAATTAGTGTAGAACTGAATGCTATTTTAGAAGCTTGTAAGATAATGTCTGCCTCGTCTCAGGATCACCATAGTATGTTGACAATTGAGTCTGATTGCTTTTCTTCTGTTTGTTGGTCCAACAATCCGAGACTATCGCCCTCCCCCCCAATCTAGTTGCTTTAGCTAGTAGATGCAAAAGTTTATGTGTCCGCCATTCTTGGTACATTAAATTCGTGCGCAGAGAAAGGAACTTAGAAGCTCACAATCTAGCCAAAGAGGGCATTAGAAGACATAAGTTGTTGTGTTTCAGTAAAATGTTGATTGTTGCTGCGGTGACTGTTTTGAAGGATGTTTATCATGGTCTGGTTCGTCGACTCGATATTAAATGTCGTTTTGTTGGTTCTAAACTGATGTTTCTGCTGCTTCGTGTAATGAAGTTTGTTGTTTGTTTTCTATTTTTTGGTTGCTGGTATGAATATGTTGTGTGCTGGTTTGAATGTTTGTGTGTTTATCTTGATAGTTCAGGGGCAACTGGTGTATTGGAAGTTATAGTGGTAGTGGTGTTGAATGTGTTTCAAGTTTAGTGTCTTTAATTGCCGTTGGAGCAAGTTCGTGGGTGGTTAAATACTCGATTACAATGTTGTACTATTTTTGCTTGAAATAGGGCTAGGAGGTTTTTTTTAATGAGTCAAGTATCATTGTCTCGTTTTGTATATGTTGTTCTAATAAATCATATAAGTATTCACCTTTTAAAAAAAAGATAAAAGAAAATATGATATAAAGATAATTTTATTAAAATTAAAACTAAAAAAATAAAGAAAAATATAATATAAGAAAATAAAGAAAAAATAAATATGAGAATAACAATCAATATTAAAATTGATATCGTCACCTATCAATTAAAGATTAATAAAAATCAAACCACGATTAAGATTTCAAAAAGCAAAATGTTAATGTTGAATATTTGTATTTAAAATGGCACGAACGTCAGTGATCTCAGAGATAAATGAATTATTGTTGTTTCTTTATATTTCGGGTTCGAGCACAAAAATAATAGAAGTACGAGCATTCAATATCAAAAAATTGATAATTATCTTTAAATAAATATTATTTTATACATATCTTAGATTAATAAAAAAAATTGTATCACAATAATAAACATTCGAGTTAGGGGCGCTGGCCATATAGTTGAAAATGTAACTCAATGATAAACAAAGTCAAGGGCGCTAGGCAAAAGGGCATAACGGTAATTAAAAAAGGTTGTACAAACTAAAACCCTAATCCATCTCCCCTCTAAATATACATACAGAAGCAGCTAAACTTGAGCAAGCCGCGATTTGAAGTGGCCGTGGCCTCCTTCTCTCTGTCATACATTTTTCCTCATTAATGACCATCATCAATTTTATGTTATTAAGAAGTATTTTCACTGATGCAAGTGGGTTGAGCAGAGCATGGATAGTGTGTATCGACGTTGTGCAAAACTTCCAATGCACTCTGCTCGAAAGAGTTTCCTGCAAAATTGATTTGGGGAAGATGGGCAGTTGTGCTTCATATCTATCGTTGATTCTTTCAACAATCTTCTTCCCCATATTCCAAATTCTTTCTTTCCAAAATATTTGTTCATCATGTTATAGACGCTTAGGTTCTTGTCATTGCGATTTGCTTCAAAATTGTATTTAATTAATGATGAGTTTTGTTAGAGTGGTGAAGATATTATGAACTCTGGTTGGTTTCCCATTTTTTGGATACTGTGAAATCTTATGAAAAAGCCTATGTAAGTTTAGATTAGCTCCAGATGTTTGAAGTCAGCCTGGTTTACTGTTATATATGACACGATCACATAAAATAAATGCCGACATGAATAAGCTGCAATGTCTTTGTAAACACTAATTTTTCATTTTACTTAAATTACTTAAATTATTATTTTTTAAATTACTATTATTATTATTATTTAAATATAAATATTATTATTATAATTATTTATTATTATTATTTAAATAAATACAAATATTGATACAAAACCCATAACCCATTTATAAAATTCGAACCACAACCCAATTACAATTTCAGACCCAACTTGTTCAGGCCCAAGTGGAGACTCAACCCGAATACATAGGAAAACCTAGGGTTTCTAACCCTAGCCCAGCCGCCAATTACTCATCACCGTTGGATTTGGAGAGATCCAACGACCACCAATAAGTCAAATAAAACCCTAGGGTATGATACCCTATGGCCACGTCCCAGCCGCCGCTTCAAGAGTTCCAGCAAGTTCCAGCCGCCCCACGTTCACACTGCTGACGCTCCCACTGCCAGGTGACCCAACCCGCTTCAGCTACGACGTCGTCGCCTCGCCAGAATGCTCCAGAAGACCCAGATGGCTACCTACGTTGAAGATCTATGGTGAGTCACCGCCATAACTTGGTGAGTCACCGCCATAACTTGTTGACTCACCGAAGACCGCTCCATTACCCGGTCTGATGAACGTCTCATCGAAGCTATAAAACCTCGGTTCATCTATAAACAAGAAAGAAAAAAAAAGGCGAACAAGAACGGAGAGACCACGCCAGAACCCAGCAAGACGCCAAATAACAAGCAACCATTCGAAAAACAAAAAGAAGAAAGTGAAGAGACTTACCCTTGGAGAGCCCAAACGACGTCGAAACAGTCTGTAATTGAAGGTAATCTTCGGTTTATTTTAAATCTAGAACTATTAAGGGAATTTTAGGGGTAAATAAGGGATGATTCGGTTTGAGGATCGAATCAGCTTTGATTAGGAGGATTTTGAAAATTTTCGGCCACCACGTACGGTGGCCGGCGGTAGCCATTGCCACCGGAGTACGGTGGCCGGCACGGTTGTCGGATTCTCTCTGTCGAGAGAATCTAAAGAGAAGGTAGAGAACTCTGGTTCTCTCATTTAGAGAGAGAGAAGAAATGAGAAAATGAGATAGATGAAAGGATTTAGGGCCGGTTTTTGGGTTTAAATACCCCTCCCGAACGACGTCGTTTTGGGGAGGGGCCTGTGTGTAATTTGAGAAGGGTAAAACCCTTTCCGCATCCATTATATATTTGTTTATTTACATGTTAATCACTTAAATCAACTTTAAATCCTTTTAATTCGGTTTTTAAATTTTGTTTAATTTATAATTTAGTCCCTTATATGCTTATATATATATATATAAGGTAAAATAGCCTATTTAGCCCCTATTATTTTAATAAATTTTATTTATATCCCAAACTTAATTAACATGGTCAAATTACACTGTAAATACTTAGTTTTCATAATATTTTGAATTAGAGCATTTAATTTTATAATTTATATTTTAATCATTGTTATTTTAATTCTTTTCATTTTTGATCATTAATTTTAATATTTTTAGAATTAAATTCTATAAAAGAATATTTCTGTTTATTTTAATTTAGTGTATATATATATATATATATATATATATTTCTTTTTAGTTATTTATATATATATTTTAGGATAAGATATGACAATGATATGATTTTTTTTAAATCTAACCTTTTCGAAGATAGTAATATACTGACAGACAGGTAATGATCATATTGACTTAGTGGTAGCATGACTGTCAATAAATTGATTGATAAATTTATATTATATGTATATAGGGTATAGAACTAAATTAATATAATGTTGTTACTATATGCACGTGATATGCATATTGTAAACATACAATACTAATCATTTTGATAAAATCTTCAAGAAAGATTTCGTATCAATAAATTGTTTTTTATTTAGAATTTAGTGTTTAAGTTTTATTTTAGTACATGTTATATTTATACATATTTAATTTTGTTTTATTTAAATTATTTTCTTAGGAAAAATTATTATTTTTAATATTTATTTATTTTTCAAATATTAAGAAATGGCAGTCTTAAAGCAACTAGATGTCTTATTCTGGTATTTTAAAAATAAATAAATATAAAAAACAAAAAATATATATTTTTTATTTAAATTATTTTCTTAAATTATTATTTTTAATATTTATTTATTTTTCAAATATTAAGAAATGACAGTCTTAAAGCAACTAGATGTCTTATTCTGATAGTTTAAAAATAAATAAATATCCTGCTTATAAAAATATATACTTCATTATTTTTAGGAAAATTATTATATTCTTATTAATATTTATTTATTTATTAATATTAAAGAAAAGACAGTCTTAAAGAAACTAGATGTTCTTTTATGATATTTTAAATAAATAAATGTCCTATTTACAAAAACCCTAAATATATTTATAAATACATATATATATTTAATATTTTTTCTTAGAAATATCAGATTAAATATGAAATAACACGATTGTAAATTAAATTCATGTTTGAATTCTTAAATTCTATTATTAGAGACAATTTATAATCAACAGGTACCAATTTTGGGCATTGTGGGGGTGTTAATCCTTCCCAAAACTTAACCGACCACGAATCCCTTTTTATTTCTAAAAAGAATGAATTTGTTGTTAAACGCATACCAATTTATCTTTTAACTGATGTTTTCTTAAAAACTCTTTTAAAAGATGATTTTTAGGTATTCGACCTACCTGACCCAAAAGGCTGATAGCGACTCAAAAAATATTTTTAAATCAAAATCATTTTTTATCCACATTATTTTCCTGTCAAGTAAAATTTCGTGCCCGGGCGAAAACCGTTTACGACAGCTTGGCGACTCCACTGGGGACCTGGTCAAGCTTTGAAATTAATTATAAATTGTCTCTATCAATTAGAAATTAAAAATTCATATATTTAATTTATAATTCTTTCCTTTCAAATTTTTTATATATATACTTATTATTTTCATAATATGTTATATATTCTTCTTTATTACTGTTTTTATTTTATTTTTATTTTTAGATATTAAATTTCATTTGTTTGTCAAAGGTTTGAATATTTCTCCTCACATACAACACTTGCATTTGCATAACATAAGCTTTATAATCAAGCTTGTCCCTTTTAAGTAGGAGTGAAAGCGACGTCTTCGTGAGAATTTATTCTCCGTGTCAGACCTAGCAAGTAACTTTCGGGATTCATATGCTCTATGTCTTCGTGAGAATTTATTCTCCATGTCAGGCATAGAGAAATGTGTCCCCTCGAATTGAACTTAATCCGCTTAAGTCTGTGATAGACTATGATTGAGGGTTTGGCAGCCTAAAGGGGCACCAACAAGGAAAATTCGAGTACCTTTACTCTTAGAACCGAAACCCTGCATATAATAAACCCTATAAATTCTCCCAATCTAAGACAGTACTGAACCTCTGTCCATAGGTGTACACAAAGGAGAAATGAGCTGTAGCTTTTAATTTATTTAATTTTTTCCTAAATAAATGCCTATGAACTAGAAATCATGCAGTTATGTTAATTTTTCCAAACCAAGCATGGAACTAGAAAGCACGAGGTTAAGATTTATACATTGATAGATAGAATTTTTTTTCTTCCATTAATTGGTACTAACCAATTTATTTTTTTCCTTTCTCATTTTTATTTTTTATACATTTTGTTTTGTTCTAACTTGTTTGCATTGCATGATGATGGCATAACCAAAAGGTGTTGACTTGAAAGACTGTTCATCAAATTGGAAACACTTCATAAATGGACAAAAAGTTTTATGATCAAACAAAATATGACGCAACCATGGAATGGCATCCCGAGGGAACTCCGAGGATAGAAGAGAACTATGCACCAAAAGATCGTATGCCCATTGAAGAACAAAAGGAGATACAAGAAATAAGAGAGCAGATGTCCAAGATGATAGATAGAATATCTGTTTTGGCCAAAGGAAAAAAGACTCCTGCACAAAAAGAGAGAGAGTTCAATGAAGATAATTCTGTAATTTCATATATACAAGGAACTTCGGATCTTAACCAATTTGAGAAATTACAGACAATCATCATTCGTATTCACAAACTATCTGGAGATACCAAAGAAGTGGTGATAACTGTAAAAGTTCACAGAGATGAGAAGAAATCATATAATCTGAAATCGTCGAAGTTTAGTCTAATCCCGACGTCTAAAACTCAGGTTCAATCCAAAACAAAAGGAAATTCTCATTTTGATGTTATCCCTATATCATATAAAGAGTTATATGATAAGCTACTTGAAGCACGAGAAGTGGCTCCGTACTACATAAAACCGTTCTAACCTCCGTATCCGATTTGGTATGACATCAAAGTTTATTGTGAATATCATGCCGGAGCTCAAGGAAATACCATCGAGAATTGTCTTGCCTTCAAACGTCGAGTCCAAAGTTTTTTGGATCATGGAACCTTACAGTTTGTAATAAATGATCGACCTAGTTTGTTAACTTAAGGTTCTACTAGATTAATACCAAAAGTGGTCAAATGTAAGAATATCAGTAGGGACACCCAGAAAAAAGAAGATTTGTTGAGGTCTGAGACTCAAATACGTCATTTGAAGATTGAAAACGATAAATTGAGCACCAAAATAGAAACCATGCATGAAGATTTCTAGAAGATCAGTCAAGCTTTTCAAAATGCTAGCATAGGAAACACCCAGAAGAGTGGATAACAGGGGTCACCAAACTGAAAAAGAACTGCAACATATATGAAGTTCTTGTCCAA